TCCCTACCCAGAAGCAAATCTTTAAAATCTGTCTTATGCATATATAATTAAGCAACTCAATACATGTATTTTTCTTTCTTTTTTTTTTTTTTTTTGCACCAACATTAGAATACTCTTTAGGGTTGACAAATGAAATACATGGCATCTAGTCAAATGGGCAATCGTTGGGACCCGATTTACACAAAAACTGGTTTTCTATCTAAAACTGCTAATGTCTTCTGGGTGTCTTGAATTTTATTTGCCAACTCTGGTACCCCTAAATTACTATTCACATTGTTCTGTGTCTCGTTTTCCTGCTTTTGCTTTTTTTTTAAATTTGAGATATAACTGCAAGTTTTCCTTAGTATTCTAAATATAAGGGAAAATAGACCATTATGAACATGGCATAAGAACATTTTTTAAAGAGTACTTTTGTTTTTACAACAATTCTATACCTCCAACTCCGCTTTTGCCTCTACTTGTTTCCCCAGGTGAACCCCGGGTGAAGTCAGTATGTGGTGCTAAGTGTTGTTCTTGCCATGCCACTTACAGGACAGGGAGGGACTCGTTCATTTAAAGAGCGCTGACCAAGCGTTTCCCGTATCCCAGGCATGGGGAGAAACTGAACACACATTCACATCCCCACAGAGCTCACAGTTTAGTGAATCTACATAACAGTTAAGAAACTAATTTCTGAAGCTTACTGAATGAAGTACAGAGCTTAGTTAGATCATATTTTCACAAACTCTATTCGGAAAAACAAATAAACTAGCTCTCCTCAAATACAAGTGGAGAACTAAAAGCACTTTGGTCAAAGTTTTGATGAGTTTATTCTATGCATTTTTTATACACACCAAGTAAAAAAAAGGAAATGCCATTTTCTCTCTAGTTTCCATTACTTTACAGTATGAAATTAACAAACACATGAAAACATTAAAGAATCCTTTTCAGGAATTAAAAAACAATAAAAACAGGTCTTAGATTCTATGCATATATGAGTATCAAAATAGGTGATAAATATCACTTATTTATATATTTGTTTAAAAAGAACAAAACTCCAAACTCCAAGTTCAGTTAACATCCAATGAAAATCTGTACTATCAGTTTGGAGATAATTCAACAAACAAATACAAGATGCTAAAAGGTGGTTACGTAAACTTTATACAGCATGGAAAAGCATCTGTTACATTCAACATGTAAAAAAATAACATTTAAAACATAGAAACAAAAAAGTACTTCCATAAAACCAAAAACTAGCTGTACTACTGAAGATGACAAAAACAGAAATAGACAAATTTGAGAAAAATGTTCCAAGTAAGAAAGTACATCTTTGCTAACAAGAAGAAACAAATTTCAACCAGGAAAACAAGGAGAATCCTAAGGAACACCCTAAAACCTGGTCAAAATGTAATACATTAGTTCCCTACAAAAAAGATGGTCAATATGAGTGAATGCCAGGTGTACGGCTGAGTCTTCCTCTCGCCCTCCCAAATACTGTCAGACACATGCCAGTGATGGGGACACGTCTTCCCCATCAGCATTACAGCTGAGTATGTGAGCACGGAGCCCCTCCCACCTGCCGCTGGGTCCCGGGTGCATTCTTACCCACCACCCTCACTCTCCCCCATCCTCTTCCTCCCCCAGCTTCTCCCCTCTTCCTAACCTTTTTGGGGGAAGGAGGGGAAGGATAGGAACCCAGCTCCTGTCCTTCTTCAGTCCAATTTCTCACTCGAGACTTTGCCTGAGTAAAGGAGCTGGACATTTCTGCAAACTCGGCTTCCGTGAGATGAAGCGAATGCTGCACATGGAGTGCTGACAAGACGCCAACCAAGGAAGGATGGCACATTACATTTCTTAGAATAAAGTTACTTGTATTAATTAAGAACCTAATACATAAAATGTCTGGCCACTTAACATTATTTTGCCCAAGAGGCTCTGTTAGTGCTCTAGTTAGGAAAGCAGTATGAACATAGCATTACCTTCGTAAGGGTGATAGTTGTAGCAGGCAAAGCGATCCCTTCTCCCTGGGGTTAGAGACACATGCACGGGGCCCAGGTGAAGGCAGCGTCGGCAGGACAGAGGCCATGCAGAACACGCGGAAGAGGGAAGGAGGAGAGAGACAGGAGAGGGTGAGCTGCAGTGGGACCCCTTTCAAAGGATGAAAAGCACGTTTCACCCAGAGCTTTCGGAGCTGTGAGGACAAGACAACAGCGCTCCAGGCAGCGTGTGTTAGAAACCAATGCACACTGTTAAGGAAAACACCAAGACGACAGTTGAGTCACCAAGCAGCAGGAGAGCAAGTTAGTTAACCATGTAGAAGGCAACCACCCAACGCGGCTGAACACATTCAAAACCAAACCAAAGAATAAAATGACTTTTTACCCCCATCTCTCCAAAAGACAATAAAGGCAATATAAGCATACACCCCCATCTCAAAAACCTCCCATCTACAACTCCTGCACATTGGCCCAACCTGGAGGATACTTGCTTGGCTGGTAGTAATGTCCAGTGCACGGACAGCACTTATCTATTCATGACAAATCAACATTTACCGGTATTATTTTCTTGTAAATGGAAAAAGAAATCCATTTCATTCAGCATGCTGACTGTGCTCAACTCATAATAATAATGAAAACTGAAAAAGACAGCATGACCTAGTAAACAGAACGTGGCTTTGGTGTGAGAAAGACCCTGGCCCAGCCTCCAGGCCCACCACCGACTGCTCACCCTGGCGCCAGCGGGAGCCAAGGTGAAGGACAGACAGCTGTGGAACCACAAGCAGGGCTATCGGCTGGCAGCCCAGAGTACTCGGGAGGGACTCCTCACACACTGTGTTACGATGATGTCTTGTATGGGAGTCACGTGAAGGCAGGAACACCCCTCTTCACTTTTGTACTCACTGCTTTCCCTGAAGCAGCCGCTCAGTAAATGCTGAGTGCCACGAACAGAGGAAATGTGTTATGAGCATTAACCCGGTATTTGGTGAAAAGTACTAGAGAATTAATTTTTATCTATGGCCTTTTATTTTCCCACGCCTACAAAAACGTCTATATATTTTTTTAGCTGGGAAACTAAAAATATGAAATAAGCAGTCAAAATAGCAATTCTCACTAGAATGGAAGTTGCCAAGGTCAGCGGGTTTAATCTGTTCAGTTGGTGCTCCATCACAAAGGCCCAGGACGGGGAGGGTCTGACATCATAAGTATCAATAAATACTTGTCAAATAGATGAAGGACTGAATTCTCATCCTGTCTCTGCGACCCATCCAAACCACCTCTCCATTATTCATTTGAAAATTATTCTATGTCAGCTGCTATTATCAATTCTCTCTAGACTAATATTCCTAAATCCTCAAAAAGTTAGATTTAGAGAAAACAATCATTAGTTTCTAGCATGTAATGCAAAATTTTAAAAAGCAGACCCAGTGCCCAAAGATCCTAAAAATTTGTTAAGTTCCGACACAACGGCTGGCCCTCAGTTGCTGTTACTGCCGCAGATGAGCAGCCCCCCGCACTCACATACGCCACAGCGCACAGCAATACGGGGACATGTCTCCAAACCACAGTGAGAAATTTTAAATGAATTTTTCAGCCGGAGAACTGAGGGACAAAGCAACACTAACATACTCCTCACAAACAGCTAATTAATCTAAAAAACTCCTCAAACATAATTAAGTATAAAAACTACCACCTGCAGCATATTGCCACTGATTATAAATTACAGACTATTAGTCAAACCAATACCATTTTTCCTGTATCGACAGATCCTACTTGTGCCATAAGATTGTAGGACCTCATCTACTCATTAGTTATCATCTCGCCAACAAAAATAAATGCTCATAAATCAAAGAAGAGAAGAACTTAATTCCTGTCCAAGCAACCACAGATGATCTACATTTTGGCTTCCAGTTTCTTCTGTACTTATTAACTGAGCTTTATCTAAAAGCATTTCTGGGGGCGCCTGGGTGGCTCAGTCAGTTGACAGTCTGACTGATGAGTCGACTCAGGTCATGATCTCAGGGTCCTGGGATCGTGCCCCACATCAGGCTCTGTGCTCAGCAGGAGTCTGCTTGGGATTCTCTCCCCCTGCCCCTCACCCCCCACTCCCCCCCAAAATAAATAAGTCTTCAAAAAAATAAAAAGGAAAAGCAGTTCTGGGCGGGAGAGCTCAATGCTCTGTTCTTCACAGCATTTCATAATACAGGTTACATACTGCTATTTGAACCAAATGAACAAAAACGATGTCGCTTAGCTGAATGATAAAATGTCATATATGTGTGTGGGTCTCACATCCATATGCTACATTGGGACACGTGAATAAAACACTTCTGTAGGAACGTCAACGTATTTCTCTACCTCATGGCTAACTTAGAACAACAGCTTTAGCTTAATTAAGAGAGCTCTAAAAAGAAGTATCTAACATGAAAATAAACTTAGTCTATTATGATTTTAAAACCGAACAAATCTCCTTCCTCTTAGAGATGGGATTTCTTAGATGTACTGTTAAATTTAAAGATACCTTCTCAGACACTGTTCATACATTAAACAATAGTATGGTAAATACACACGCACACACTTGCTTCTATTAAATTTGCCCTCAGAGTACATTTCAGTTTGTCATTTTTTAGGTTAAGTATTTTATAGGTTACTTTTAGAAAAAAATTTTAAAAGTGGATCATTTAAACTTCTCCTTAAACTCTCCATATTCACTATTTTAAATTTTGTTTTTCAATATTCGTTTTTTGTCCACGTGAACTCTACTTTTATGCATAAATATACATATCCTGTGACCTTAAGGTTCTGGTTCTTTTTAAATATAAGAACTTTTTAAAAAAAATAAATGGTCTAAAAAAGGGTTGTCAGCCAACAGAAAGGATACTTAAATAAAATTCATTAAAAGCATAAACATTTGAGGACAGAACAATGCATATTGATAGTATTTCTCACCTGGGCTTAGCTCTACTAGATAGGGCAGCTTCTCGGGCGGAAGCGCAGAGCCGTAGCCCGACCCCTCCGCTCTCTCCTTGCCCTTCACCAGCTTCCCATCAACATGTTTCTTAGTTTTCTTTGGGATATAGTCTGGTGGCCTCCTCTTCAACTGAAAGACTAAAACCCCTAGAACAGTGCACATTGTCAATCATCAAGCACACTCAAATCAGCATACGTGGCCAAATGATTCACCGTCAACTCTTCTAAGATTTACCAAGAAGATATAATTTAACATCTCCCAAGGAGTGATTGAGTGAAGGCTTAACCAATTTATACTTTTACTCATTAGAGGAAGTATTAGTCACTTGTGTTCTGAAAAATTCTACTAGCAATTTCCAAAGATTATTTTAAATTAACAACTACCAAAGCACATTACATGCTTGAAAACAACACAGCATTAGTTTAAGAACAAATCAATGTTCATATTGGTAAGTAACCCTATGATCAATAAATACAATCACACACACACACCACATGCATACACAAATACATATATACATATATATTTTTAGTTGACCTGATTTTAACTCAACTGAATTAACTCAGAATTCAAAGCAATCTGAATTTATATTATAAAGAGGTAGACTAAGCAAGTGTACACTTTAATTTAAACTACCAGTCTACATTACTGATACGATGAATGGGCAATCAATTTGTATGTCTTCATTACGCAAAGGCCTCTACTCAAGGACACACAGCTTACAGTGTGAAACTGAAAGCAAGAAAACTAGATTTCATCAAAACACAGCTTTCAACCTTCACTGCTCTGAAATAATCAGGGGAAACTGAATGGTGAAAAGTCTGGATTTCTCATTTGAAATGACTAAATTCCTGGAGAATCTCTAAGGCTGCAGGTCACCGTCCCCGTCACAAGCGCTCAGGGTGGAGAGGACCCTGCCACTGACAGAGAACAGTGCTCTTGCATTGGCCGACACAGTGCGGAACCCCCGCCCTGTTCCTTCCAGACAAGGTTCTCCTCCTACGGCGGGACAGCCTGTTCCAGGTCTACACCCCAAACTCACACAAGCGGAGTGTGGCCCTCAGGACAACATCTATCAAGTCTAGGAAGGAGCTAAAAAACTATACAGCAAACAGCCACACACACACTCAAACACACACAACCAACAAATCCTGCCACACACGCTCCCCAGCATCCTCACAGTTAAACAACATATCCGGCAGAAATTTAATGTATCATATAAGTAATTCTTTAACAAATAAAATTACCCTTTACCTTTGTCACTTGGCCATTCCCTGAAGATTTGTAAAGGACACTCATCATCATCAAGGATAATTTCTTTAGCACCTTTTTCATCAGAATGCTGGGCTCCAGGAGGAAGCATAACCTGAAAGGGAAAAATAATTAACTGTGCTATACCTAAAAAGTAAAAAAACCAGAATTTATTGTAAATAAAGTCACAGTAAAATTAAAATGATCAAACACTACAGACAATTCTCCAACTAATCAACGAAAGTGAAGGACAACAGCTTCCAATAAAAAGCTTCACTGTTTTTATCTACCTGCCTCTCTGGCCCCCAAAAAGAATTAGTGGAGTAATTTTTGTTTGTTTTTTAACAAACTCTTATAGGGAAGGATGGTATGTAATGGTCAAACTGTGAGTAATTTCTGTAATTTTTAAGGAAAAATCACTCCACTACTGCTCAGTCTCTGGTCCCTAATCCACTTTCCCTGCATCATCAAATAATTGTTTTTATAGTTTCATCTAATGTGAGGTCTCTCAGGATAACTGTCACCTAACAACGAAAAAGCATAGCATTCTTTTTCTTGTAGATAATCGGTCTTTATGATTAAATTTTAATAAGATCATTTAGCTATACCACAGGGCTATTCATTCAACAAATGTTTTTAAGCATCTGTTTTAAAACACTACATTCAAAGACACTCTTAAAACTCATAATGCTGTATTAACTTTTATGTTTTTCTGGTAGCCAAACAATTTTCTTAATCATCTGGGAAAGCCCCCAGTAATACAGAGGGAGAATCTAGGTGACAGTAGCCCAATAATCTAATGCACCTGCTGGACTTTTGCCCTTCCTTCATTCTACTTTAGTATTAAAGCAAACCAAAACATGATTATAGAAGATAGGAGAAGAAGCCAAGCCACTGGCATCTGAACATTATTTTCAACCTACGGTACTACAATGTTATCTCAATAAACCTTACCAACCAAATATATCATCATATTCATATACCAAATAGATGAGACTCTTGTATAGAACCCTGTAATTTCTTTCTACACTGCTTCAAATTACCTGAAAAAGAAAAATATATTACAATACACTGTCCTGCTAAAGTAATTAATCTTTTCTTGTACTGTTTTGTATTAAATTTAGTACCTTGGGCTTAGAACACACACAGTTCAAAACCTGACCTTCGTCCCTCTCCTGCCCCAGTCTTTGTCACACACCCTGGTAGATCCCAGGCAGATTCCAGGCACTACTCAGGGCTCTCAGACTAAGCCATGAGTTCCACCTGTCGATGATCTCTTGAGCCTAAAAGGCTCGTTTCCCAGCGTCCATGTCTAGCTCAACAACAGCTCCTCCAAGCAAGCCTTCCCTGACCACCACACTCACTCCAGTGCTCCTTGTTTTGCGTGTCTCACTCCCAGCTTTTCTGTCCCCCTTTAGTGAAGTTCTTTCAGAGACAGTCCTTGCTTTTGTACTCCAACAGAGTAATGAACGAGTAAGAGGAACTTAAGTATTTACTGAACAAATAGCTAAAATAACCACTGAATGAATATGGAAGCGCTACCTCTTACATAATTGATAAGATGGCAAACCAAGAGAACGAAGATTATCTAATTCAAGATTAAAACAATAGTCAACTCCTGATTTGTACTCCCTAAGTTTGTGAAGTAGAATTTGCAAGGACATAATAGAACAGAAAAAACCCAAAGAAGGAGACCCTCAAAAGAAAACATCAAATGACTTTAAAAAGGCCTGTCACTACAGCCCAAAGTAGGCTTTCGTAACTTAATGACCCCGATTAGGTGTCCTTTCACGTTTGAATTTCATCAGTAAAAGTATGGCAGAAATTAATGAAAGGGAAAAAAATGATCAAGTTCATTACCACACAATGTATCAATGCAACTTTGTATGGAACTGATGAGTATTATTTAATAGATTCACAAACACTTACACAAAAGCATTCCCTTGGCAAACAGCTGAGCAATCCCAAGTCTCGCACGCAAGGCTAGGCGCTGGTAACCAAGTTCCTGCCCTGGGTGCTCAAAGACTAGCAGGGGCGCAGCTGGAAGAGGGTCAGGTTTCCGCTCAGCCAAGCCGACCCTATGCACACCACTGATTTACTGATTTCATTCTGACCAGAACACTTTTTACAGCCATGACTAACAAAAACCATAAGGAACATGCATCCAAATCCATCCTTCTCCACGGGCCCAATTACTCCAGAGGCATAAGTGTACTTCCCAGATAAACAGTAATGCTCACTATGTTTTCCTCCTGAACAGAAAAGAAACGATCTCACCAGCATTACAAGAGGGTTCTCCTCTACTTCGTACTTAACCACCAGGAGGAAAATGCACCAGAATGTCCTGTATCTGAAGTATTTCCCCTTCAGAGGCAATGCATGATTAACTTGATTACCTATTCTCCTAACCTCACCCCACGAATTCCACCCCCCCAAAGTAGGGTAGAATTTCAGTTCAGGATACTGTTTCTTTATCTGTGAACCCTATTCGCCAGAAATCCAGTATAAAATATATCTTTTATTTCAGAAGCATCACTTTCCCTTCTAATTTATCAATACCATTTCTTACGCTCTTAGTGAGACCAAAGGAAATGAAAGAGCATATCAAAAAACAAACACTCGTGATCACCTATCTTTCCTCACCCCACAAAGAAATGAGCTTTGGGGTATTTTTTTTTGAGGGTGGGGGTTCTAAATAATACAGGCTCACTATAAAAAACTGCAATATAGAAAAGCATAAGGAAGGAAAAAACAAACCCATTGTGAGATGACTGTTTTTACAATCATGCGTTCAGTAATGATCTTTATGCGTCTATCTCGCTTTAAGAGGGCTCACATCTGAATCACACGTGTATTTCAGAGTCTTCTTTTCTTCCCTCTTCCCTTCACGTAGGTAACTGGTAAACTGCTGTGTATTTTTCCTAGGCATCTATCTTTCTCTACGGTCATGTATGCATAGACAAGGACTTGTGTTGTTCCGTTTTAGTTTATGGTAACTGTTTTTCCAAAACTGGGGTATTTTATGAAATGTATGTATCTCCAAGTCAACTGGTGCAGATTTAATTCATAATGTTTCATAGCAACAGGTATCCAATGGCATACACATTCCTTTAGTAATGGGTGTTTAGTTTGCGTCTTATTTATTGCTGTAACACAGAACTGAAAAAACATCCCCACAGAAACACACTCAGGAATTTACTGGCCATTTGTTTTAGACAGTATAACTAACATTTATCACCTCATTTATAAACAGTTTTCAGTCTCATACACGCTCTCCATCGTGCAGTGGGTGCTATGTAGGATGACCGCACAGACAGACATCTTCCAGACTCTCTATCCTTCTTCATCACCCTCGGGATGACCTCCTGTGCTAGATCCTATTCGGGGAGTCTGTACCTTTCTATTCCTTGGCCCACTCCATTATTTTGCTGGAGGATGTCCTCCAGTACCTTTTTGAGAAAGGCTGAATGGGTGGTAAATTTTGCCTTGGGAGTTTTGAAATGTCTTTGTTCCACCCATCTACCACTCAACAGTTTGGATTGGAAATCATTTCACTCTGAATCAGAAAGCACTGTGTCATGTCATGTATTCCAGACTCCATGGTTATGCTGAAATGACTGGCACCAATCTTGCCCACCCCCCTCCGCCGGATCCTTTATATGCAACTGGAATCTTTTTCTTTGGAATCATTATTCTCTTTTCTCTAGTTTTCTACATTTTCAAAATAATACACCTTGGTTTGGCTCTTTTTTGAAGTAACTGTAGCATTACTCAGTGGGCCCTTTTTGAGCTAGAAACTCAAACCCTTCAGTTCTGGGAGACATTCTAGTACATTTCCTTGATAACTTCTCTCTCTCTCCATGTCCTCTTGCTTTCTCTCTCTGGCCCTCATTTAGCTAAGTGCTAGGTATTCTACAAGATGACCTTTCCGATATTTTCTCTTTTCTTTCTGTTCTACACTTGGGCAGATATCTTGAACTTTATCTTCCACCCCTTCTACTGGCATTTTTTCCTATCCCTTACTGACTTCTATTTTAAATTTCCAAGGTCCCTTTCTCCAAGTGTCCCTCGTGACAGCACTGTGGTCTTATTCCACAGATACACCGTCTTCCTTCTCCCTGAGTCTCTCTTTTTGAACACTTCCACCTGCTTTCTGCCTTGTCGCATCCATGAAGTAAGACCAGGTTCTTTTACCTATTTGTGTTGGTCTGTCTTTCATTTTAAAGGTGTTTCAAATGTCTGTTGATGCTTGGCCATCAGTTCACATTCGACAGTGAGGCAAAAGAAAGTTCAAGGTGAGGGGCAAGGATTATTGTCCGGAGCCCTCTGAGTAAGGTTACCGGATTGAGCTTCCACAGGTCAGTTTCCATATAGATCTCTGTCCCTTGGCGGGAGGGTGCCTTCTGGGAGAAATCCTCAAATCTTCTGGCTGTCAGTGTCCTGGGAAGCGCTTCTACTTCACCCTCCCATCTTCAGTAAAGACCCTTGCCATACCCTGCTACTCCTGTTACCCTTAAATGCAAGGCCTCCTCCCCTGTCACCTCCATCACAGCCTTCAGATGGAGAGATGACACAGTAGCGGGGATGGGGAAGAGAATCTGGTGGGGCCTGCCACTTCTTAGGAAAACTTTCAACCCAATTTGATTTTAGCCCAACTTCAATGTTGTTGAAGCATGTGCTACAGCCCCTCGTTCCTGAGTCTGCTGGGGATTGTGATGTGGGCGCTCGGCCAGTTTCTTCCTGCTAGGTTCTCTCTGCAGGTTTCCTTGGGCCCAACAAGTGGGATACCAGTCATTTACTCCTCCAGAATTTCATTCACAACTCTGCTTTTTTGCCATCTCTTCTTTCATTCTCTTTGTTCTTGTGCATTTATACAGATTTTATTTCTTTATTGTCATTTTAATGGGGAAAAAAAATCTGTTTTCTTTTCAGCTAAAACCTGAGCTATATTCATAAAATTGTAGATCTACCAAATAGTTTTTCTAACTGAATAAAATTTCTTAGCTTTTCAGCAAAAAGAAAAAATTCATAAAACACAACAAGCCCTTTTATTTAATTCCATCTATAGCTAACAAAAGAGGTCTAAGACCTCTACACTGAACGCTACAAA